CATCTTTTGAACGGTCTAAATAAGACCTTTTCCAACATGTATATATGCAAGCTAAACTTTTGAACAGGAATGATCTCAGAAATGGCATTTGCACACTGTATGTCATTATTAACACCAAATGTGAACTGCTTGGAAATAACTTTTTCTTAGCTGAATATTAAGTCTTCTTTTCCCGAAAGACAGTCAAATTTTTAAATGTAAAATTGGCGAGTTCTTCAGGCATGTGCATTAATTTATTACTACTCAATAATTAAATTTTCTGTCTTCAAGTACTAAAAGATGAATGCATGATTTAGAAAGGGAGAAGACGACTAAGCGTATTACTATAAGGTATTTTCTCCTTCCTTCTTGCATGCCTTCGTGGTGTAACGGTAGCACATTCGAGAGGTCCAGGTTCGAGTCCCGATGAGAGCATGGGCGCATTAGCCACCTAGGCCCTGCAAGGCCATGTTTCTCACCCATCTCCTTAAATTCTTCGATGAACGCTGGATAATGGAGGACAAGGGGCATACACCTGCTTGCCTCTGGCACACGCCAGATGCCCCTGTTCTCCGTCACCTGTCTCCTGCTTCAAATTAACCTAATGACTCTACAGTGAAGCCCGAACTAAAGGCGATAAACGATAATTCTTCACCGCCAGGATTTGGCGATTGGGTCCCATCCTCCCCAGTTGCCCTTTAAAAGGGGGAATATATAAAGTATGTTCTCCTTTTTTCGAACACGCCTTCAATGGTGTAACGGTAGCACACTCGGCGCGTATTTGAGAGGTCCAGGTTCGAGTCCAGGCAATGGCTCTGCGCGCTTTTTATGTCTCCTGCTTCAAAGTAACCTAATGTTTCTACAGTACTTAACGGTATCGCGAAATTCTAATAATATTAACCTGCAGAACACAGATAGCAGTATTATTCTAGTGCAAAATGCACTTATATATATATCAAATAATAACTGTAAAATGCATACTGATATGTCATCCAAAATACTGCATTCGATAGAACAAATTCTGTTTATTTTCTCGACAAAATATTTGTATGGCTTTCACCAAGTTACTTACACTCCCTCACCATAAGAAAATAACATTCAGTAGATTAAAATCATTTGTTACTAACTAAGAAGTATATTTTTCACCGAATATAATTCTATAACAACACGCTTTATAATTTTTAAAAGTTAATTGACAGAAATGGTTAATAAAAGGCGATGGTAGATGGTGAACCTCCTAAGAGCTCCGGAAAAATCTTGTCAAATGTTACTTCTTTCAGTGAAGAATTTTGACAAAGGGGCGGTAGAGTAAACTGCAAGTTTAGCAACTTAATATTCTTAAACAAATCAACAGAAAATAACTTAATTAAGTTGCTATGATGGGAATCAAAAGAATCACTTAAGTTTTATCAACCTGAGTTTCCGACTTTTAAGCAGGCCTATTTCCTTTGTTTAGCTTCATAGCAATTATTTAAGGTTGTAGAGTCATTGAAGGAGAAGTAAAAAATGTGCAGTGCCCTTGCTGGAACTCGAACTCTGGACCTCTCGAATACGCGTCGAGTATGCTTCGAATTATACCACGAAGTCATGCAGAAAGAAGGATTATTCTACCCTTTTATTCCATTACTCTCCCCACTTTTAAAGAGCGGTTGGGGATTAAGGGCCACTGTCGCCAGATTCTGCTGGTGACGATTCTGCTGGTTATACTTCCAACTACACCAGGAAGACATACGGAAAGGAGGAAGAACATACCTTACAGGGTAATAGAATAAGTACCGCAAAAATTTCACATTAATGTGCCTCACTTAGTAGTTCCAAATTTCCCACACTCAAAGAGAAACAGTAGGCTGTAGATTCATTAGGCTTGTCGATGCAAAGTAACATTAAAAACTGTGCCCTTGCCAGGACTTCTATTTCTGACCTTCCGACTGCTAGCGGAATGTGTTTTCCAATTACACCACGCAGGTACACAGTAAGTTGGAATAAAAACCTTACTCACATTTGAGGCAGTAGTAAGACATTCATGTAAGATAAGCAACGCCATAAGAGCTATTCTTGCTTCTAGGCTTAGAATGCAAATTTGCAACAGTTATTTCAGACTGTGCATTTGCTAACTACATTACTTTCAAGTCGGAAGTTTTATATTACAGTAAATCAGTATCATTAAGTTGTCCACTTCCATCTGAACAATATCTAAGTTTGTGCTGCTCAAAACCAGATCAACTGTACAAACATGTATTTAAACAAACTCAATATAATTCACATAAAATCACAAAACTTCTATTATTATCTCGACAAAATGAATAACTTAGATTAACCGTAATGTGATTTTTACATTAAACATCTATTCATTCTTACATTACATTGCATAAAGATTCTTACATTAAACATCGATTGCATAGGTAATACATCTAGATTTGCAGTGAGGGTATTTGACATCGATTAAACTAAGAGGAAGGTCTAATTTCTAATGTGGTAATACCACATTTCAATTATGATGATGCAGGGTGTCCAAATTCTGCAATGTTGCTATGAAATAAGGATATAGTTGTCGAATCTTGGAAACTATGCGCAAGCGCAGTATACAGGTAATACGTGCAGATTTCTGCAAATCTGTTGGTAACAACATTCCACTGATCAATGCTTGTTACTGAGGCAGACATAGAATTGTGCACTTCTGCCGCAATTAAGATTGGACACTGATAACGTTCTCTGCAGTAGCTTAGCTTTAATCAATGCTTCCCAAAGCTGCTCCAGAGGTTTTACTATAATATATCTCTAATTAAAAGGACCAAAAATCACTCTAAATGCTTAGGTTTTCATTTTGCTTTTATTTATATTTCTTGCTTAAATATGGGCAATCACTCTATATGTTTAGATTTTTATTTTGCTTTTATTTAAATTTCTTGTTTAACTGTAAATAAAAGCAAAATAAACAATGTGCGTTATAAAGCAATTTCTTACATTTCTTTATGCGAGTTGCAGCAAATGAATAATTAATTTACATTACAGCTGAAAAATAATTTTAAGTTTACACTAGTCTCCGGGATCGGGATCGAGTTTGAACCTCGTCAAGATTAGCTCATTATAAAAAATATTCTATCTTACTGATAAAAGAAAAGTTGGTCTTTTTTCAGTTTTAAATAATTTTTTGCGAAGATTAATTTTAAACGCGTTATAGAATTTCAATACTTTTGAAATTTAAATGCAGCAGAAAATTAAAAATTTTCTCAAAAAATAACTTTTGTTTTCTGCATTTTGGATATTATTTACTATCAGAGGAATTAAACCGAAAATTCTATTGCCTATCTTTAAATTAATTTGAAAGAAAAACAGGAATAAAGAATACATTGAAGATTTAGAAGGGCTTTCATGCTTTATTGCTTTCCAGTAGCACATGTATCTGAGAAAATATTTTTTCTTTTCATGCTTGTTGATAAAGAAAACTAACTACAGAAAGAAGAAAGAGCCATTTTGATAGCTAAATCCTAATTTCATGAATTACATATAATTTTAAAAGAATTTTTTAAAAGATCTTAAGCATAATGCTTAAGATCATTATCTTGGGAGAATGTAGAATTATATTGCTGGTAAAACTTTGCGGAAATATTTAAAATCTAAATATCAAAACAGCTGTGATTGTTCTGACTCTAATAGCGCTGATTCCATTGCAATATGCATAACTTGAGATTAAGGTCTAAAAGACCAACATACAATCGTGGGTAAATTTTTTTAATTGAAAATAATTTCAGTTTTCCAAATTCTTCTTTGATACTTTTGCTCATTAGAAATTCACGAAAGATATTAAATTAGCTTATGCAATTAATTATTATCTTATTTTGATGTCCAAAATTCCAATTTCTTACAAATTTTGACAAAGAAAACTCGAGTTTTCTTCTTTTCTCGCGACACATAATTTTTAAGCTTCATTGCTTCTTAACATACCAGATTGCTACTTTAACTATATATTTTCATAATAAATGATTCGTCAAGTTCTGTTTCATATTTATGAATCTCCAGACAGTTCTGTGCTCTACTTTACAAGCAGGGCCAGATTACCAATTAGGCACAGTAGGCACGTGCCTAGGGCCTACGAAGGCCAAAGGTCTTAGGGCTTTGAAAAAAAATATATTGAAATAAAAATACCCCAAAAACTTATAAACATTTTTATATTATTATATAGTGAAGGTCAAAATAATATATGTAAATACAAATACACAAAAAAATACGAATACAAAACGTTTGGTTTACTAAGTAGATCCTAAAATAACTCCTTTTTTCGGGATTTTGACACAGCGAATTCGTGTATTATATCTTCAAAATTAATGCCGCGAGCGACATCACTTTCAATACACAGAAGGCCCAGTGACGAAGTTCTCTCTTGACCCATAGTTGAACGCATAAAATTTTTTATAAGCTTCAACTTGGAGAATGATCTTTCTCCTTCTGCATTCGAACCCAATATCGAAAGGTATATGCGCAATGCAATATTAACATTTGCGAAACTTGACACAAGTTTATCCTTTATTTGTAATTTGATGAGATCCGTTATAGAGGTGGTTTTGGGGTACAAATTTGAAAAAATCAAATACTCATCAACAAAGTTTTCTTCTAAGTCAGACAGATACATTTTTACCAGAGCTTGAGCCTTAACCTTGATAATGTCCTCGGTCAGTGTATTATCCGTAAGAAAACTAAATGTGTCATAAAGGCTGGTATACGCAGTGCGTCTCTTTGTCATTTCAGCGCAAAGCACATCCAGAACAATAAAAAAAACATTAATCTTAAAGGAATCTTTGGCACTGCGAGAGGGAGTCTCATCTGGCCCTTCATCGAACTGTCGTTTTCTCTTACGAACTTTAGTTTCGGATTCTTTAAATTATGAATCTGGTGCAAGGGCTTTTGCCTTAAGATAATAGCTATTATACATGTCCTCAGTTCTGCAGTGAGATAAATATTGAATTAAACTGTCGTAAAGTCGCACCATCGTATTAAACTCGATGCCAGGTTCTTGAAGAGATTTATTTACAATATCGACGTGTTAGTAGATCTTCCCAAATAACTGTGAGTAATACCATCTCCAAAGTATTCATTTGATGGATTAAGGTTTGTGCCTCAATCACTGTTGTAGGTTTCATACCTTCTCTAGTTGAAATATTTGTAAGAATACCACGTATATCATCATAATGGGCACATAATGTTTTTACAGCCTCATAACGTGCTGACCATCTGGTCTCTGAAAGTCTTTTTACAGAAATTTTACTTCCCAAAGACCTTAGTTTAGACCATCTTTGAGGGGACGCTGCAAAGAAATTGTAGAGCGATTGCAAAATTTCAAAACATTTTACAGCTTCTAAGCAGCTTTCTGCCGCCGCTGTGCCAACTAGATTAAGACTATGAGCTCCACATGGTACCCAAGTGGCTGCGCTGTTGATTTCCCTAAATCTAGTTTGTACTCCCGAATACACTCCGCTCATATTAGCCGCATTGTCATAAGACTGACATCTGCAAAATTTTGGGTCTATTCCCTGATTTTCTAAAACTGAAATTAGAGTGTCAAAAAGATACTTGGCATCATGTTTTTCTATTTTAACAAACATCAAAAATCTTTCATATATATCTCCAGTTTTTGAGACATATCTAATAGAGTTGATCCGTATGGCTAACGTCAGGTGTAGAATCCACAGTGATTCCATAATACTTGGCTTCTTTGATTTCTGTAACTATTTTTTCCAATACTTTTGACCCCAGTAAAATTATTAGCTCTTCATACGTTGTGGAGGATAAATATGATACTTTTCCGCGGCCTGGATTACCGTATCTTCTTACGTGTTCTTCTAGAAACGGATCAAATTTGGCTAAGAGATCGATACACCCAAGAAAATTGCCATTACTAGGATCACCATGTATTTCATTATCGCCTCTAAACGCTAGCCCCCTTTCGGCCAAAAAACTTAATTACTTCCACTACTCTTCTTAAAACCGTTGTCCAATATGTGCTTTCTTTTTCCTTGACAATATCAAACGTCTCATCAATTTTTCTAGTTTGTTGGTAGTTCACTAAAGCAGAAATAGATGCAAAATGTTCTTTTGACACTTCATGACTTGAAATTCTTGAATGTGCGTTTTTCCAGTCATTAAAGCCTGTAAGGAATTGGTTACACAGGTTTGGATTTCCAGGTAGGTCCGATTTGAACAAAATACATTTATAACAAAAAAAACTTGCCAGTAGATTCGGAAAATATCAACCAGTCCCTTTTTATAATATCATTGTTGTTCAGTTTTCTGAAAAAATAATCTTGTGATGAACATCTCATTATTTCGCCAAATTTAGTGGCGTATAACTTAAAATTTATATCCAATTTCTGCACAGGGTGATTACGAGAGAAGTAATCGATAAGATCTGCGCTTATGGTTGTCCACCGTGCTGGATCAGAACTGAAAATACTTGAGGCTGATGTTGTTGGTAGTGATTCAGGCACCACCTGCTTGGAAGCGTCGTTAAAATTTCGTAAACCCCCGTCAGCCTCGTCTTCTGTGACATTCTCAGTTTTATTGGTTGAACATTCTTGCGAGTCCCAACAAGCCTCAGCTTCTTTAGGTCTAACCTCGATCGAGGAAATATCTACCGCATCTGCATTATCTTCTGTCTCCTTAGAAATGTTAACATATTTCAATAAAGAACCTTTAATTTTACTAAGCGACTCACTCACTTTCTCTTTCTTTTTGCGTTTTTCATGTCCACTTTGGTGTTTTCTTTTATATCCATCAGACATTTTTCGCTAAAAAAAAAATATTTAAAAAAAGCTTTTATAAATTGCGCTTAAAAGTTTAAAATAATTTTTCAACTTTCTGATATACCATAATAAAAGCGATGGGCACGCACAAACTAAAATTTAAACTTGTTTTCTCCTTCTTCTCGTCACCTTTAAATATACATTTTAGTTTGCGCCCGTCGCTTTTATTATGCTATCAGAAAGCTAAAAAGTTATTTTAAATTTGTTAAGTAATGCATTTTAAACTTGTAAAAACGAAACCCGGATTTACGAGTATGGATTAAAATTAAGCTATTCCAAAGGTGATTTGGACTGTACTATTTCTACGACTACTACTGGAGATTTTTTACAATAGTATGGCCAAACCACCCCATAGTAGGCCTACTCAAAGTTCCTTGCATTGTGCTGCATTCTACGGCGGACTATTATATAATAAGAAGTGATAAAATGAAAATTCTATTATTATAATGGAATGAAGCAATATTCCAGAATCAAAAACTAGGTTGAAATAAGTAGAGTATAAAAACAACTTTCCTTTACTTACCTTACTTATAATAAATTTAACTTCCAGTTTTTTAAACTAAAGATTGACTTGGGGTTGAGCGTGATTAAATACAAGCACAGGCATACACGCTCTATCGTAGTGTTTACATATTAACTTATTACACAACTGAGCTACTAAAACAAAAGACCTTAGCAGCAGGGAAAACCTCTCGATCGCGCGCAAGCGTTTGGTAGTGGGCATGGAAACGTGGCCAACTGTGTCAAACGCATGTGCCCGTCCGAGAGGTTTTCCCGGCGGCTAATGTCTTGTCATGTTCATGTACTAAAACCCTGGAATTCTGTATGGAATTTGGTAGATATAAAAGTTGCATTGTTGCAGATAAACTCAATTCTGGAATTATGGCTATTGAAAATGGCTCTATGAAAAATAAAAACATTAAAATCCCAAAATAAAATAATGTTATTTTACCGCATCATCACATTTTCGGATTTATATCTACAACAAAATTATTACTTAATATTAGCGGTCAATTTCAGTTAAAAAATGTTTATTATTTCGGGGCCTACGCTGCTGCCTAGGGCCTACGACACCCTTAATCCGGCCCTGTTTACAAGGCATCATGAGTAATTTTCCAGATCTTAAATAATTTTAAATACTATCATGTTTCAAATTATATTTTATTGTGTTATTATTGATAACTGATAAAATTTTTAAATGAAAGAACTATAAAAATTTTTAATTGAACATAGCGGCGTTGATTTCGTTATTTCCAGTTGCAAATTAAGGATAAATTTATTAATTTCTGATCTCATATACTTTCTTAAAGAAGCCAAGATGATGTTGAAAGCTGATTGAAAAACCCTCAAGGATATTATTTTTCAGATACATTTTTTCTTTTTTGTGTATGTTTCGATAAGAAATAACATCATATTTTATTTATTGCCTATGATTTTATTCCCAGTCAAAGTAGTGCTTGAAAATGTTTGGGATATTATTACTTCCGCTCTAAAGATAGGATATTAAATTTTAAATCGAATACTTTAATCTTAGAAAAAGTATTTATTTCATACGCATATTAGACGAACACTTATTTCTAAGAAAATTACATTTTTAAATTTCAATTTAATTTATTTATACTTTTTGGATTTATTTTCGGAATTAAACTAACCGATCACCTTTATGATGGACTAGAATTTTCATGCTTTATTATTCCTTGAGGAAAAAATGATACTTTTTGGCATAAACGCTGGTGCTAATACAAACTGTCTTTGTTTGTTCAATACCTTTTAGTAAAGCAAACAATTTATTTGAATCGTGGCCTTGAACATATCTTTTTTTTCATAACATTTCAGACTTTAACAAAATACTTTTTTTTATATACGTATATATATATATACCTATAATGGTGCTACTTTGGTAGACGGTTGCACGAATTTTTGGCGATTTACGTTGGCGCAATTGTTGGCACGGTTTTTACAATCGTCAGCCATCTTGAAAAACGCTGTTTTTACTTACGCAGAGTATTCGAAACTTTAAAAAAATAAATATCGTTAAAAATTATGGATTAATTCTTTATTGAAAACGTTGTTTTTTTAAAATGACAGGCAAATGTAAATAAATACATTTACTACGAGTATAAAATACTAAAGTAAGGTTAAATTATTAATTTCATATAGCAAAGAAATAGAATAAAAACACAGCTATAAAAAAACTGCGTCAACGTTTAATTGGATTAAAATATTACTTAAATTCAATATCGAATTAAAAACATCATACCAACGTTTCAAAGAATTAAAATATTACTTAAATTCAAATACTTTAAAATAAGTTTTATAGGATATAATTATTTAATATTAAAACATATGTGGCAATAAATATCTCAGTAATTTTTGAAAACAGTTAATAAAAATTGAAGTATACAATTATAAAGTAAAAGAAAAATATGTACTTACATTTTTTTTGAGTATTTGAACCTGTCGTACATATATTGATAAGTACCACAAAAAATTCGGAATCATAATTTAGAATATCAATGGAAAAAAATTTGCCGGTGAAAAAGGAGGAATGTTTTATATACTTTTTTTACCGTTACAGCGGTTATTTCTTCCACCGCGAGCACAATACCTTATACGGCCGTCCTCAGAATCGGCTCTTCTTTTAACGATCTTCATCTGTGATCCAGATCTCTCGCACTTCATTGAGGAAGCAATTACAGAGGTTTCCTCCAAAAATTTAAAATAAATTTCCTCTGACCCTTGTAACAATTTATCAATAAATCTTTGATTAGTAAAGCGAGGTGGGACAAAATAAGGTCTCAAAGGACAATTTTTTGATTCCGATACCAATAATTCTTGGTACTTACCAATAACAACAAGGAATACGAAGAGATGAATAAGGAATACGAAGAGATGAATAATAAAATTTTAAAATGGCGCGGTAATGCAAACATTCAGTAACCAATCAAGGAGCTGATTGCATAACACATAGAATTAAAATTATTTAAATAATCATACATAATAAAATCATTTTAAGAAATGCAAAATTAAATTGTATTTTAATATTTAACAGCCATAAATAATGTTTAAAACATTAGATTAAATTGATAGATATTAAAACCAATTACTTTTAATGTAAGGTGACGTCATTGATTACATCATCCCCAACATAAAATTGTATAAAATATCATAAACAATAAAATTTTTATTTCAAATAAAAATGCAAAATTAAATTTATTTTTAATATTTAGAAGTCATAAATAATATTTAAAACACGGAATTTATGCATAATAAAACTCATTATTTTTTAAATAAATTGACAACAAAGTATCGGTTACCATAAGTAACTTGTCCGGCAATGGATTTACCATAAGTCGTATCGCTCACCAAAAAAAATCGCCAAATTCAATGCAAACGTCTACCAAAGTAGCACCGATATAGTATTCTAGAAATACATTAAAATGCTTTGATAAATTTAAGAAATATGATGAGCTTAATTTAGGAGCAAAAAATAAAAATGCTTTAAAAATTGCAAAATTCAAAAGTTTTACGTTTTTTTCTCATGCCTAAGAATGTTTATAATTTACTGAACGTGATTTCTTCGAGGTGCTTGACTGTAAACCAAAGACCTCAGACTATAATACGCTTTTTATCGGTCTATATTGTCTTTAGCAAAACTTAAAAATGCCTCGTTAGCAATTACTGAAAGGCTGCTATTATAATTGCAACGAACCCCTTTTTTCCGAACTAACTGATGTGGATCTGTTTCGGAACACCAACGGTCAAACTTGTTTTTATTAAAAATGGCTCATTTCCGTCATCATTGACATTTTCGATAATGATGTTATTTTCTAGAGCTATTAGGCGTATAAGTTTCAAAATATTGCAATTTTTTAAGTAACTTTCAGTCCATGTACGAA